TAATTGTTATGAGCATTGGTATTTCAATGGTAGGTTGGAAATGTGCAAAATCTAGGGGTTATGCCGTCCAATTTTTGAGAGTGTGTTTGTTTTGAATTTGAATTGATCTTGATTCATTTTATGGAAATTCTTATGATTTGGACTTTGGGAGGATTAAGAGTCCATAATGGTGACATTTCTAAGCTTGTTTAAGTTCATTCATCCTTGTTTTGGCATGTACATGACTAGTATAGGCTAGTCTTATGTTAAGTGAGGATTTCTAGCCCTAATTGTGGTTAGTGATGGTTATTTGCAAAGATTGGCTTGGAAGTGTAATTTCAGCTTTTGTTGTATTATTTCTGCCCTGTTTTCGTACTGTACATTTGACCATGTTAAAGACTGATTCGGCTCTTGCTCAAAACATGAAACTTGTAGATATATGAGTTGACTACTTGCCTGCAAAATTTCAAATTTATTGGAGCACTGTGGCTTGTGAATTGACCGAAATACCCATGACTGCCCCGTAACCCCTGTTTTATGACAGATTTCGCTCTTTCTCTTAGATTTCGATATTTGACCCTGAAATTGTACATTTTGGCGTTGGAGGTCTTCATAAGAAATGTTTACAAATGTTTTAGCTTCGTAACGCCATAAGATTTGTTTCGATCGGATAGGTGTAGCTTTACTTGTGATTAAAATGCCAAAAGGCAATAGAAGCTTGTGTTAATGTTAGAATTTTCCTTTGCTTGACTTAATATTCGGTTTTAGGATTTCCACTTGATCAAGATGATGAGGTTTGCCGGATAAGCTTCGCGAGCCGTGTTTGGTGAGTGTATCACTAAATGGTTCATTGTACTTGTTATATGACTTGGATAGGTCGAGGGTGTACTTTACCGCTCTTGACCACTTGCTTGCACTATTGTTACTGTTGGACTGTGAAATTTCATGAATATGTGATTTTGAGATTTGTTAGGGCAATGCCCTATTTTTACTGTGAAATTGAGCTCATGCCCTTAGACCGTTATTCGAGTCGAGCCGGCAAGGGTTTGGGCGATTCGTTAACGAGCCTTTGGGTTCTTGATAGGCGAGTGGAGTGCTAACTCCTCGACCTTGTGGTATACTCGAGTATTACCTTTTGAAACTTTGAGGCGGCGGGCCCGAATAGGGGGTGAACGGTGGAAGGAGATGGTGAGAAGAGGTGTCTACGGTTCTTGGTTATCTTCAATGGTTGACGGAGTGTCAACGAATACGATCAAGTATGGACATTGGAAACGGCCCTTGAGGGCCGAATGTATCCTTTTATAAATGAATGTTTGAATAAAGGCACTTATGCGTATATGTTATTTGGCCGTATCATGTATTTGTGCATTTGGTACCTCACGAGCGCAAGCTCACCTCCGTTGTTTTGTTTTCCTTACAGGGACACTGTTGGACTCAAGTTTTGAAATGAGTTGAGCTAATTATGTAGCTAGTTTTGAGTGGCTCCTTGAAAACTTGAAATTTTGATCCAATGAATTCAAGTACTTTTGAAGGGTACAATTGAACCTTTCTCATGTATATATGGCATGTATATATATGTCCTTATCAAGTCTTGGATAAACTGCATTACGTGTTTGATGTGTTTATGCGAGTACCGGATTCGAACAAAGGAAGAGCTGTATTACGTTATTTGTGTACCTGGATGGCTTGTAATTTGTATAGCTTAGATTTGGAATCGTTTGTGTAATTGTTGGGCTAGGGGAATTGGAATGGATGGGATTACACCTTGTACGGTTTGAATTTGGATCGCCTCTTGTGTAATAGCTTGTGGATATGGTTTGTAATGAATGATTGGACTTGAATGGACGTACGTGTACATTCCGCAGCGTTTGTGATCTGTAAATCTTGGCGAATTTGATGTAAAATACGAGATTTATATGGTAATTTACTTGAGGACCGTAGTGATTGACTGAGTCCTGGCGAGAGCTGGGCAGGCGGCCCGTTGACCCCTCTGGTTCGCCTTAGGGGAAAATGGGGTCGTTACATATCTAGTTTATTTATCTAAAGTTATTTCTTTTAAAGTTTCTTGCAGTAAACAAATTTCTAGTTTAGTTTCTTTCTTGGGTCTGTCTAATGAATACCCACTAGGCATTTTTTAGACAATATTTAATGGGCACTTGTTAAGGTGGTGATATTTTCAAAATTTTAAAAATATAAATATAAGATAGGATAATAGTTGTTAATGTACATTCACCTCGTAATTTAAGTTAAATTTGTTGTCATTTAGGTGTTTTAACAAATCTCCATTGGCACATGTTCAAGAACCTTTCTTTTATATGCTTCCTAAAACAAACCACCAACTAGTCAATCTCTTATAGTCACTTTCTTTTTTGACAAATTTTATGAACCAAACCAACTTCTAATCTCCATAAAATTAGTATAACATAGCAAAATAAGGAAATTATAACAAGGAAACAACAGATAAACCAAAGGAAATCTAACTTCTACTACAATTTGTTTGTATTAAATTGACTTCAATTAACACTCATATATTAGGCAAAAACAACTACCAAAGCCATGACTTCTTCCAAAATCTGTACTTTTAACAATTAACCCTCCCCAAATAACATTCTTGTGTCTTCAAGCATCCATTTTCCCGCAAACTCCATTATTCCAAGGAAAGTTTTTTGGTTTTTTTTGTTCCACCGAACTCCATTGTAGCAAGGCAAGTTTATTACTCCTATTTTCTTTTAAAATTTTTCTGTCATGAAATCATCAAGAGTCGATAGGCAATCAGATATGTGATGATTTTCGTGCAGAGTCATTGATGACATACTTCGAGAAAGAACTAATTTTATTCAATTATAGGTGCATTTAATCAAATGAATGAGTGTCGATCACAATTTCGCATGCCTAGCATTAATAAGGAATAGAATGTTATTTTGTATTTTACTCGCTTTGACTATTTTAAACATTTGATTACTTCTTATGGCTTTATTAATCTTCTTTATGAATTTATTATGCTTTGTTTGTTGTTACAATTTTTCACCATTATATGTTTGATGTTCGCCCCCGTTAAGCCAGAATTCCGTCTATGTTGGCAGCTGAGTTGCTACAGCTGACCATCCGTATCATTATCAAAAATAAAAGGGAAAAAAGTAATTGTCATAACTTTTTCGTACAGATTTTGCACGAGATGTTTGATTTATCCTACACTGCAAACACTTTATTCATAGATGTACCCCCTGAATTCATGCGATGTAGTTATGAAAGCAATGTAAGATGATAAACCAATTATTATTATCAAGGGAATGCATTGGGATCCTACCATATACCTCAAGGAATAATTTGCCAATTCAGATGCCAACAAAAGATGAAGAGTCATAGCCTTTGAAGGAAGATGGCAGTCAGGGACAGGGAGAAAAAATGATTCATATCCTGAGAATGTGAAGTCGGGACAAGGAAACATCAGCTGATCAGTTGATTACAGTTGCATGGATTCTTGAATCTCTTGATATCCTTGGAACTAATCCTGGGAAGGAAGTTGAGACCATTAAGGATCCAGCAGCTGATAAAATTCCTTCTGTTAGAAAAGAATAATCTGGTCCGTGACCAATTATCATTCCAATTGTCCTAAGGATGGTTGAGTTTGATCATATGACCTTACTGGAGGTGTGAATATATATATGCAATCTTCTACGGAGAAATGCCAAATCCAGGAGAAAACTAAGCTCGTAAGCCACTGGAAAACAGTTCGGGACTATCTATGTTCATTCAAGTCGTTGGGGTTTTGACAGTTTTCAACGTATCAGCAACAAGAAGTTGGCAAGCTATCGGACTTTCATGTTCAAATGCTTCTCAGACTGAGGCCATGAACAAGCACAAGGATTGAGATTTAACTGCCGAGAGATCAATGGTTTCACCTTTCAAATAATAATTGAAGTTCTTCTCTCTTACTTGTTAACAATGGGAAGTGACCTATTTCTAACTTGCCTTGAAAATTTTGGTGTTAATGAAGATTTGTAATAGAATTGAAACATTCAAATTCGATAATTTGACCATTAATACTAGCCAATATTTGTGAGAACTCGAAAATTTTCTTATTTTCGTCATATATTACTGGTTTATTTAAATAGTTATTCACTTATTTTCTCCGAATTATTTAATTCGACTACATAAAATCCATTTATATGGAAAAACACCTCTCTTATGTTTTTAAAGCGTTTTGTTAGAAAATTTACTTTTCGAAAACTCGTTTAGTTCGGAACAACGAGTATACGTTTTTCGAGACTATATTTGAATCGAGAGTATATTAATTTTGGAGAAGTAAGAATGATCAATAGTAGATTTAGAAAAGTTAACTTGAGATTTGAGGAGTTAAAACTCGACTCATGTGAGGACTCGTAAAATTTATTATCTTAGATTCCATTTCGAGTTTATTCAAATATTTAATTGCCCATCTACTCCGAATATTATTTTCTAGTCTATTTAGACCTAATTACATGAGTTTATAGCTTCGTTATAATTTTAAAATGACTCGTTTCAAAATTTAATTTTTGGAAACTCGCGAAGTGAAAATAGCGAATACGCGATTGGAGTTAATAATCAATTCGAGGATACACTAAGTTTGGAAAATTAGAGACTTGCAGGATGGTCTTAAAATAGGTAATTTTATGTTTAAGTACTTAAGTGATAGTTATTAGTACTATCGTTATAAGAAATTCTTGGAAGTTTCGCTTTATCGCGCTTAATTTGGAGATACGCGTTTTTACACGCGCGATTTAATTAAGAGACTTTAGACCCTCATTTTGGGATAATTAAGAGTGGACAATATTTATATGAATATGAGTGCATTAAAGGTTTAGTGCACTAGTGAAATAAACTCGAAAGGGATCGAGTACGAAGTGCGCGTATACACGCACTATCCTTAGTTGACTTTTGGAGCATTTTAGGCCACACATTATTGAGCTCCTTATGGGTGCATCACACTAGATCAAAACCCTTCAATTCTTCAACTAAAGTGGCGTGCAACATCTTTTCTTTTCCCTCCATTTCAGCCGTGCATCTCAAAGAGCAAGAACCAAACTTGCTTCATCAATTTTCTTTCATCATTTCTTCACCAAATCTTCTCCAAATCACACCAAAATTTAACTACACTTAACTAATCACTTGGAGAGCACTTTGAGCTAGGAAAGGAGGCTGCTCTCACGGTTTTTCTTTGGCTCAAGAAGACCGAAAATTTCTGCCTTGAACATCTAGTGAAGTAAGTGACGATCCGGCTTTAAAATCTTGATTTATGGAAGTTCTATTGCCCATATAAGCTCATGCATGTAAGTGGGTAGCTTTATTTATGTTGGATTTTGGTGTGTGGGCTCTATGAACTCCCACTTTGGTTGATGAACTGATTTGGTGGTTGATGATGATAATTATGTTAGTTTAGTGCTTAAATTAGTGGTATAATGTTGGGTTATTGTTAGAAACTCCAAGATGGTGCAATGACCAAAAGTGATCATTTTACCCCTGCCTTGTTCAAGCACTTTAATGTCAAATTTTGAGGTTCTAATGGTTTGTTTATGTTGTTTACATGTTATATTGGTTGTGTTAAAAGTTTCATTGAAAAATAACATGATTTGATCACCCAAATGTCGGAAATTCGAAAGCTTGAAAATCTGGAATTTGAATCCCGTCACTGCCCCAGGCAGTCTTCTTGTTTCGGACATAACTTGTTGCTCCGATGTCGGAATCGAGTGCCGTTTGTGGCATTGGAAACTAGACATTCCTAGCTTTCGGTTGGTATAAAATGCATGTCCTGGTTCCACTTGAGCTAGCCAAACCATTCATTTGAAATCCACTGTCCTGTTTCATTGCTTCCTGGAAGGAAGCTCATGAGCTGCAATTTAATGCTCACGAACGAGCTGGTTATGGACAGATTTTGACAATGGTTTCTTCTGAGAAAATGTAGCCTTATGAGTCTATTTTCCAACGCCACCAACCAAGCTCAATTCCGAGTTGAATTGAGTGATTTATGATCAAAACTCGAATCTGGTCTGGTGAAGGAATACCTTACATTTGGACAGATTTGAACTAGCAATGATTTGGGACTTGTTATCCGAAATTTCTTGGTGTAAATCACCTATCAAATGTACCTTGGATATATTTTAGACATTACCTACTGGAATGAATCATGTTTGAGTCGTTTCTTGGCCAAATGTTTGGAAAATGGCAAACCGGAAGCTCAAAGGCAGCTTAGCCTTAGAACTTCTTGCGATTTCAACGGTTTTGTTAACCGACTTCCCTTTCATATTTTCTATGAAATTTGGCAAGGGAGTGGCCCTTTTATGGTAGTATATTCATACCAAATTTGGTGCCGTTCTGAGTCTATTTTGCTATCAAACTAAAGTCCCAAAGTTTGGAACTCAAATCTGGAAACTAGCTTAACAGTTTCGTTTTTTCCTCCAACTTTGAGTGACCGTATCTCGGTGTTCAAAACTCCGATTCTTGATCCACTTGTTCTGTCCTAAACTTTACTTGTAACTCTAATTGTGTTATAAATTTCAGAGATTGGTTTGCAACGTATGAATTTTACCGAATTTCCAAAGTTAGCGAAAAACCAACCCCAGCACAATTCTGAGCACCCTGAAACAGTAAGTTTAAGCCCATTTTTGAATACCTTCCACTTAAATTCATGGAAAAGTATCTTCTAAGAACTTTTAGTACTTTCAAAGAGGTTTCCAATGGTGTCAAGTTTTCCAATTTTGGACTTGTAAAGAATGAGATGCGATTTTTCAAAGTATAGGTGACAAATCTGAAATTTCCGAACTTAAAGGAAATTGAGGGTTGCGAACTCTCTATTTTCCTTCGATATTGTTAAGCCGTTTTACACTTGATTTCAAAGATGAAAATCAGATTTCGCTTGTGTTTTAAAACCCCATTTTTGAGCCTTGATTTACTAGTAATTAAGGCTCATTTTCATGAAATTTTCTTAGATTATACAAGTGTGCAATCTTCCTCGATAATTAGGGGTTTTAAGCGATAGTGTGTAATAGACAATTACCATTTGCTCAGGTGCTCAAGGAAACCTTCAAGGGGATCTTGAGAGGGAACACCTAAAGGCTCGTTTACGCACTTACTCCCTTATTTCGATTGGTGAGTGTCAAGTGCATGAACTTGATGTTAAGTGGTTATCTGTTTCTTATCCATTATGAAAATTTGAAATTTTGAGACGAGGGTGTACTTTACCGCACTCGTGCTCTTTCAAATGAAATTATATTCGAATTTTGCTATGTGAATTCATATCCGACTTGTACATGGTAATGTGGATATGATTCGTATTTGTTTTGATTTGTATATGTGATCCGTATTTGTGATTCCTATTTGGAATCGTCGATTTGAGAGTTGCTCGTCGACTTATATTCGTATTCGTATTCGTATTCGTATTCGGGGGACGCCCAAACTCGTTGGTTAACTTTGCGAATCGAGCCAGCATGGGCTTGGTCGATAAGCTTAGCCAACCATGAGATATTCGTAGAGCATAATCTATTGGAGAGATCTTGCTCGGCATTACTCGTGCAGTATTGCCATGATATACTCGAGTATTACCAAAAACTTTGATGAGCGGGCCCGGTAAGGGGGTGTAATGGTGACGGGATTCGAAGCAAAGTGGTGTATCTACGGATTTGATACTTATGTGGTTGACGGAGTGTCAACGTGAGATGTGATCAAGACTTCAACTCGACTACGTGGAATTTAGCTCCTGAGAGCTACAGTATCCTTGAATTGTTTCTGTTTAGTTTTTTCCTATTCGAAATGTGAATTATTCGAACTTTATAACTTTACTTACCATGTAATTTGTGACTATTTGGATTATGTGTTTGCATGTGTGTTTCTTGGCCTCACTGAGTATTGGCTCATCCCATTAGTTTGTTTTCCTTAACAGGTTGGATTGGAAGATTTTGGAAAAGCCGACTAGATTATACTTTTGATTGAAATTTGAACTGTAAATGTGTAGTCGACTTTTAATGGTTGTATTTTGGGACTTGATATATCTTTTGTGAACATGAAGTAAGATTTGAATATTTAGTTAAGGAAGCGACTTTTCTTTATTTTGACTTGTAGTATTTGGTATGTATTGTTAAGTTCGATTTGAATTGTCTTGAGTCCTGGCGAGAGCTGGGCAGGCGTCCCGCGGATACCCTTGGGTTCGCCCTTGGGAGAAGTGGGGGCGTCACAATATTACATGTATTTGCTTTTTTTTTTGGGCCCTAATATTATAGTACATGTATTTCAGATAAAAGAATTAAAATCTCACCAAGCCTACTAAGAAAAAACATAAAACTTCTTCGCTTGTAAACTTCTGCTTGGATTAATTCATCCTTCTTACATTCTCGTATACCCATATGACTATTGCATGTACTAAATGGTCTATAAATGAAGCGTTAGATCAAGCCTACACAAGTTTCTATGGTAGAGTTTTGATAAAAAAAAATACTTATTTGGTGGAATCTTTCATAAATATATTCCTAAAAAAATGCCAGATAGGATTTTTTACCTATGGTTTTATCCCACCAATATGATTGGAAAAAATATATAGGCAGTAGCCTACGAAGGTAATTGCCAATTACCCACTGAGCAAGATTTAATATTACTGTATATACTGCCTATGTATACCAATGTGCAAATCAAGTGCAATTAACATTCAAAATTTAATATCTGAGCATTTATTGGGTGAAAGTGAAAAAAATGAAAAGATTAGTACTAAAGGTTAGAAACAAAGTTGCGGTCTGAGTTTATTGCCAAAATAACACTCTTGTTAAAAAATATTCCCAATATGATTGACTTTCAAAATTTATTCCCATAATGATGTTATTGTTGCCATCTAGTTATCCTGATTACCATGCACGATAACAAGAAAAGAAAGTTCAAATCTAATTTAAAGTATCCAACATGAACTAAAAATTAAAAAAAAATTTTATTACAGAGGCACAAGAAGATTGCATAACTTTTATAATTTCTTTATAATTATTTAAAATAAATTCTACCATTATTGACCTTGCTATTATTGGGCTCTAATTTTTAAAAAATGTGTCAAACCTATTGCATATATATTTTTCAAAAAATAAATTTTAAAAATACAAAAGTTGCAACAAAAATTGTAAGCAATTAAAAAACTTCAAGACTATCATATTTATTTATGTTATCATTCCTACTCCTTAAAAAGATACGAGAATAATTTTCATTTGCCTTGAGATTATCAACTCGAGAAGCATATTTTTTAGATACTGTTAATATAAATATTAATTTCTTAGAATTACGAGTGTGTTTGGATTAAAGATTATTTCACTTTATTTACACCTTATTTACACACACTGACTTGCTTATATCATCAACACATTTTCTAATCACCTTTTTATCTCACATACATCATATCAAAAAAAGTGTTACAGTAAAAATATTTCAAATATACGTTTGACAAGGGAAAGATAATGAAACAAAACAATGCGGGAAGATTTAGAAAGAAAATTGGAGAAGATATTAGATGGAAAAGAGAAATGGAACGTGCTTTTATCTCCATCCTGACACATATGCTGCCTAAGTGGCAAAAAAAGGATTATAAAGGTAATAAATTATAAAAATAGATTACTTTGGGTATATGTTTTGAAAGAAGAGTTATTTTGACAATAAACTCACAGGTGCTTGTCTAAATTAAAATATATAACAATTTTTGAAAGTAAAATGGGGACTGCATAGTTCCTACTTTGACCCTGGACCCAGTCCAGCGGTTCCGTTCTTCGGAATTTTGCAGGCCCACTTCCTGCGTTAAAAATTCCTCGCCGGAGAATTTTGGGGCCATTGGCTAATTTATCTGTTTTTGGTAACATGGGGCAGACTAGGTCAGGAGGGCCCAAGTAGTTAACGGGTAAATATTGGTTTTTATTCAACGTAGAACTTATTTCTTGTTGACTTTTTCCAAGATACGTTATGCCTCGTATTGGTGTTCATTTCAGATACTTTGGTCTGAATATGTTCTCGCAATTGATCATATTTGTAGCAATTAAATTATTTAAATGTTGGACAGCATAATCTCAAGCCTAAGTAAAATTTAACTCTTAAGTCCTTGAGAATTTACAATAGCTTGCCTCTTGAGAATTTAAACTTTGCTATTTGTAATCAAATTTTCATATGTTAAGTAAAAATTAAAAAAAAAAGGCCATAAAAAGTGGAAAAAGTTTTGAACATTTTATCTCTAGTAGCTTTTGGATGCTCCAATTTTTGAGTCATTGCATATAATAGAAATATATGTACCTTCAACCGCATGGACTTGATTATTTCACCAAGGTTTTAACCTTTCCGATGAGCTCACAATTTGCACTGCAACATCTGTCGCAATTATTCCAGTTTCTTTCTTGATTTAATAAGGGATAATTTCAGAAACCTCTCTAGAAATTTCTGACAATTTCACCTAATTTCCCTTTCATTTGAAAAGTTACATTTACCTCCATTCTCAAGGACAAAAAAAAAGCTATAATAACTTTCTTAAAAGAATGACACTCATCCTAAGCAAAATTTGAAGCCAAAGTTATTATTGCCGTTATTTAAAAGGAAAAAAAAAAGGTAACAATAAAGTCAAATGGCTATCAAACATTTAAAAAATTGCTACTAAGTCTAACACGGTGGGTTTTGCCCTATCATTACCATTACAAGGGAGGTTAGTGAAATTATCCCTTGATTTTAACATTATTGTTGATATTTGATTAAAAAAACGTTCTTGTTTATACTTCTTTTTATTCAGGGCAATCTCTCCTTTTTCTGATATTTAATACACCGATAAAATTCAGCTGTCTTTGGAAGTGCGTACGTGCGTAGAATTCATCTCGTTCCACTGTCAATCTACTACTTTTAACCATCGGGACATATTTTCTTGGTCACAAATTAATCCTACTCTTTTTGTACTAGTACCTTTTCTTTTTTACTAATGCCACGTCAAGCGCACGAGCTATAAAATGGATATGTGCAAATGGGTAATTCTTTGGTTTTAATTTCGGTAAAAAGACATTTTATCCGTTTTTCCCATCATTGAATGATGGAAGAAGCTATATGTGATGATGTGAGAAAATTCCCAATTAAAAAAAAAATATGAGTACACTATGTGATCGCTTTATTTGCCTTTTCCCTCATTCAATAAAAAAACTATGAATAAATTTATACCTTGGCTTTTAAGACAAGTCACCTGTTAATTTTCTCAAAAGCCCACAAATGTTTTTTTTTTAAAAAAAAAAGTAAAAACCACAGACTATATATGCATTGACATAAGCTTATACGGAAATTTAGAAAAAAAAAATAAAATTTAAGCTTATAGGGTGTACAGACTGCAACTTCCGAATTTGCTCGATTTATTTGAACCAAAAAAAAAAAGATGCTATTTATATGTGCAAACATTTTATTTAATTATTTATCTATTTTATGCGTACGAGTATACATTACATGACCATGCAATTGGCTTTGCGTATCCCTGGATCATATTTTGATTTACGACTGAACATGTGATATTTAGACAACCATCACTAATGCTCAATAATTAATCTCAAGTGTCTAACTTCAAAATATTGATGAATAAGTAAAAAACCAGAGGACAACTACTAATTTAAAGATTGAAAATTTCGAAATTCAGCGACTAAGTCGTGACACAAAAATTAGCGTGCAAAGTATCAAAAAAGGAAAAAATAGTATACCATAGTGCAAATTGGTAGTAAGTTGAATTGATTCAAAGTATCCCCTAATCCATATTTTATACATCATCTTCGGGGACTAATCTGCCAACCAAATAAGGATAGTTAAAATTATTAAAGGAAAACTTTAAGTGCTTATTTTTAAGTGTTTGAACTAGCCGATGCTTTCAAACCCGACGGGAGACCAAGTCAATCTCTTTAGTTGTTTTGACTTGCTTCTTTACCAAAACTTGATCCGACCAAAAAGCTTAGAATGCTCCTTTGAAGTAATTTTTCTTTTCTGCACTAGTCTACATGTAAAGACAGATCTCCTTGGCAAATGTCCTAACCTATCATATTTTTAAGCTTTTAAGTGCGAAAAATGTTCCAAGTATATTAGTTGCGCACGAAGTTTGAGGAAGTATTACTTCAACTACTGTTCCGTCATATGCTTAGAGGCCCTGGATATGGTATAATGATAATCCGACCAAAACATCTCTACTCCTGTCCCTCTCACGTGTGATTCGATTTTAACTGAGCGTTGTTCTTAAGCTTTCTGTGTCAAATCATATTTGGATATGCGGTTTGTACTTTAATTATGCTGAAAGGTAGTTATTGGCTTGGTTTTATGGAGTAATTTTTTTAATTGCTTAAGAGTTGAAGTGAATGTTATGCCGCTTTCTTAGGGGCATTTGCATTTACGGTCACTAATTAAGTTTTGCTTTACTGGTGAAAGATGAGGGCTTTTTTGGATGGTCACATCAGGAAATTAATCTTAAGGTTACCTTTTGGGCTGAATGTTATTACTCAAGATTGGGATTTATTTTTGTCCTACAGATTAGGACATTGTGTGGTGTTGAACATGATGATTTGAAGAGGCTGTTTTTTGTGTCAAAATCGATAAGAGAAGCGGTAAGCTTTTATACATCTCTATGAATTAAATTAATTTAAAATTTGAGTGCTTTCTTCAACATGTCTTGAGCATTGGTTGATTTTGATTTGGATTTCTTAAACAAAAATGCAGACTTTGATTGCAAAGCGATGGCATTTTGCAGATAGCACCCCCAAGAAGACACTCGGATTTCCAAATGCTATTGATTTTGAAAATGTGGATGAGTTAATGATTGAACAAGCTCCAAGGCAAGTGAGAATTCCGAGGGCTCGATTGAGCAGCAAGAAGTTGGCTGACATTTCCGTGACCTTATATACTTCTGCTGGCGAACAGAATTGGCTGCGAAGAGAGCTATTTGTGGCAATGGATGCAGAAATATGAGTTGAATGATTTATGAAGATCCAGAACGGTCTTCTTCTTGTTGTACAATTTGGTAACTTCTTGGTTAAGCGAAATAGATAGAAGACAGAAAGAAAATCTGACGTGCGTATCATATTTTTTGATA